TGTTTTTATCAGCTGTTTGGACTCTCATTCTGACGGCACCCATTCACTGCAGAGGATCCATTGGTGAGCAAGTGATGTAATGCTAAATTTCTCCAAATCTGTTCCGATGAAGAAACAAACTCATCTACATCTTGGATGGCCTGAGGGTGAGTACATTTTCATTTTTGGGTGAACCATTCCTTGTTTTCCAATTCTTGTTTATTCATTATAATTTTTTGAAAACTGAAAAACGAAAAAAAGCAACAAACGGACCATGTTCTCAGCCAACTTAGTCAAGTCTTGCATGAAAGGGCTTGTTAAATTTTTCTGCTAATCAGATCATCCTGTTTATATGACGCTCTAACCTTGTTATCGTTCCCTCCAGAGGCGAGGTGCTGGTGGTCAGGTGACCACTTGAGGCCACACACTTCCTGCCTGTGGCCCTGGAGGCGTCTCTCCACAGGAGGAGGTGTCCTCACGTCCCTCTGCAGAATCACTCTGTCCCGGCTACCCGATGACAGCTGCTCTCCATTCCACGCAAGCGCTCCTGAGAGAGAGCAGAGAAGGTGAGACTGAAACCGCCCCGGTTATATGAAGATGATTTGTTCTTGATGGAGAGTTTAATTTACTTAGTGAAAACAAATCTGCTAAATTGCTCAGAGAGTGATTAAAACCAGCAAACATTTCAAGGGAGTGATTTTAGCGTGACACAAACCTACGCGTGCTGAATGTCCCTCCAAACTGGTCAGCTTCCTCCCTCCAGCTGCGTCCCAAATCTGGACAAATCCTTTATGGGTCCCTACAGCCACCAAACTTCCCTGAATGAACAACAAAGACGAAAATATTACCCTGAACAATCACAAATGAGAAATATTCATATAAATAAGAGGTTTGAGCTGACCCTCTCATTCCAGCACACTGATGTAACAGAGTCACCATCCACTGATAAGTCACACAACCGCGTCACCTGTGTAAAATGAAACGCTCAATACTGACGATCACATCAGATTACATCTGTAGCTGTTTGTCCTTATAGTTTGTCTCTTACCTGACTGGTACAGGCACTCCACAGGTAAACACAGGCCCCCAAACCAACACTCAAGAGATTTCCAGCTGACCAGTCCACCTGTTCACAAACGTTTTCAATCAAATTACTCGGCAAATGTTAACATCCTTTGTATAAAAGAAATGCATATTAAATTATATCATATCATATCATATCATATATTATATGTGACTCTGGAGCACAAAACCAGTCATAAGTCGCTGGGGTATATTTGTAGCAATAGCCAACAATACATTGTATGGGACAAAATTATAAATTTTGACTTAAGACTTTTATGCCAAAAATCATTAGGCTATAAAGTAAAGATCATGTTCCAAGAAGATATTTATTAAATTTCCTACCGTAAATATATCAAAACTGAATTTTTGATTAGTAATATGCATTGCTAAGAACTTCATTTGTACAGCTTTAAAGCCGAATTTTCTCAATATTTTGATTTTTTTGCACCCTCAGATTCCAGATTTTCAAATAGTTGGAAATGGAAAATGGAAAGCGTATTTATTCAGCTTTCAAATGATGTATAAATCTCAATTTCAAAAAATTATTGACCTTTATGACTGGTTTTGTGGCCAGGGTATAGTATAGTATAGTATAATATTATATAATATTATGGCATTTTAAATGATCAAAATTTTAAATATAAAAGAAGTGTTATATTATTTTACATGGTTCTCTGAAATACTTATGACTGGTCAATTGTGACATTCTACAGTTTAATATTTTTGTGTAATGACCGCTAGACTGTATAATTGTAAACTGTATAACTGCAGTCCCAGGAAACCAATTTCTTACAGTCAGCTGGTCAGTATCGCAAAAATAAAGTGATAATAATGTACTCTCTTTTCATTATTTAATATTTAGACGTGTAAAAATATCTGTAAACGAAGCGTACCAGGTTGAGGTAGAAGTCATCCTGCAACTCTGGGGCATCAAGAACCTTGAATGGGATCTTGGAAATCTTGCGTGCTGGCTTTCGGGGTGAACGCAATAGTTTGTGACTGCAGATGCAAAAATTAAAAAATCAGACATGAATAATATATGGATACAATTAATAATGTACAAAAATGTCATGTTTTTATGTGCTATAAGAAAAAAAAATCTTAATCAGTATTTCATTATTTTTGTATGGAGACCTGCACACAGGAGAAAACAAAAATAGATATTATGGACATAAACTGAGGATTTGCTTTTCTCACAACTAATTTGTGGCCACGTTTTATTAATCAGTTCCCTCATTTTAGTTAAATCATGTCCACGTTGTACTGATTTGTTCCCTTGATTTGATTTAATTTAATTAAATCATAACTACATCTTGGGAACAAATTCTTCATTTGTTGTGACAATGTCTTTTTCTTTGCATGTCATGTGTGGGGCTCTATATTTTGGTCTTTTATAATAAAAAATATCTGTATTTGTCAAAAGGATTGAGAAAAATCAGCTTAATTCGGCAACACATTAATATACGGACCAATTCTCACTATTAACTAGTTGCTTATTATTAGCATGCCTATTATTAAGATATTGGCTGTTTATTAGTATTATAAAGCACATATTCTGCATGACCATATTCTACATCCCTAATCCTACCCAATACCTAAACTTAACAACTACCTTACTAACTAACTATTAAAGGATCATATGATGCTTTTTTAAAGATCATTATTTTGTGTATTTGGTGTAACAGAATATGTTGACATGCTTTAATGTTCAAAAAACACATTATTTTCAAATACTGTACATTATTGTAGGTCCTCTATGCCCCGCCTCTCTCAAACGTTTCGTTTTCTACAAAGTCCCTCCTTCCTGTTTTTATCAGCTGTTTGGACTCTCATTCTGACGGCACCCATTCACTGCAGAGGATCCATTGGTGAGCAAGTGATGTAATGCTAAATTTCTCCAAATCTGTTCCGATGAAGAAACAAACTCATCTACATCTTGGATGGCCTGAGGGTGAGTACATTTTCATTTTTGGGTGAACCATTCCTTGTTTTCCAATTCTTGTTTATTCATTATAATTTTTTGAAAACTGAAAAACGAAAAAAAGCAACAAACGGACCATGTTCTCAGCCAACTTAGTCAAGTCTTGCATGAAAGGGCTTGTTAAATTTTTCTGCTAATCAGATCATCCTGTTTATATGACGCTCTAACCTTGTTATCGTTCCCTCCAGAGGCGAGGTGCTGGTGGTCAGGTGACCACTTGAGGCCACACACTTCCTGCCTGTGGCCCTGGAGGCGTCTCTCCACAGGAGGAGGTGTCCTCACGTCCCGCTGCAGAATCACTCGGTCCCGGCTACCCGACGACAGCTGCTCTCCATTCCACGCAAGTGCTCCTGAGGTTATATGAAGATTATTTGTTCGTGATGAAGATCTTAGTTTTCTTAGTCAAAACAAATCTGCAAAATTACTCTGAGAGTGATTTAAACCAGCAAAGATTTAAAATCAAATCAAGTTAAGTCACCTTTATTTGAATAGCACTTCATACAATGCTGGTTGTTGTCAAAGCAGCTTTACAGTGACAAACAGGAAAATAGTTTGTCAATGATGCAAGAAGACAATGACAGAGTCATTTTTTCAGCTAAAGTCATTTCATTGATGATTCAGTGATGTCATCATCCAGTTCAGCTCTCTTCCAATAGTGTCTGCGCAATCAGTAAAGCATCCCCAACTAAGCAAGCCAAAGCAAAGTGAGTGATTTTAGTGTGACACAAACCTACGCGTGCTGAATGTCCCTCCAAACTGGTCAGCTTCCTCCCTCCAGCTGCGTCCCAAATCTGGACAAATCCTTTATGGGTCCCTACAGCCACCAAACTTCCCTGAATGAACAACAAAGACGAAAATATTACCCTGAACAATCACAAATGAGAAATATTCATATAAATAAGAGGTTTGAGCTGACCCTCTCATTCCAGCACACTGATGTAACAGAGTCACCATCCACTGATAAGTCACACAACCGCGTCACCTGTGTAAAATGAAACGCTCAATACTGACGATCACATCAGATTACATCTGTAGCTGTTTGTCCTTATAGTTTGTCTCTTACCTGACTGGTACAGGCACTCCACAGGTAAACACAGGCCCCCAAACCAACACTCAAGAGATTTCCAGCTGACCAGTCCACCTGTTCACAAACGTTTTCAATCAAATTACTCGGCAAATGTTAACATCCTTTGTATAAAAGAAATGCATATTAAATTATATCATATCATATCATATCATATATTATATGTGACTCTGGAGCACAAAACCAGTCATAAGTCGCTGGGGTATATTTGTAGCAATAGCCAACAATACATTGTATGGGACAAAATTATAAATTTTGACTTAAGACTTTTATGCCAAAAATCATTAGGCTATAAAGTAAAGATCATGTTCCAAGAAGATATTTTCCTACCGTACTACCGTAAATATATCAAAACTGAATTTTTGATTAGTAATATGCATTGCTAAGAACTTCATTTGTACAGCTTTAAAGCCGAATTTTCTCAATATTTTGATTTTTTTGCACCCTCAGATTCCAGATTTTCAAATAGTTGGAAATGGAAAATGGAAAGCGTATTTATTCAGCTTTCAAATGATGTATAAATCTCAATTTCAAAAAATTATTGACCTTTATGACTGGTTTTGTGGCCAGGGTATAGTATAGTATAGTATAATATTATATAATATTATGGCATTTTAAATGATCAAAATTTTAAATATAAAAGAAGTGTTATATTATTTTACATGGTTCTCTGAAATACTTATGACTGGTCAATTGTGACATTCTACAGTTTAATATTTTTGTGTAATGACCGCTAGACTGTATAATTGTAAACTGTATAACTGCAGTCCCAGGAAACCAATTTCTTACAGTCAGCTGGTCAGTATCGCAAAAATAAAGTGATAATAATGTACTCTCTTTTCATTATTTAATATTTAGACGTGTAAAAATATCTGTAAACGAAGCGTACCAGGTTGAGGTAGAAGTCATCCTGCAACTCTGGGGCATCAAGAACCTTGAATGGGATCTTGGAAATCTTGCGTGCTGGCTTTCGGGGTGAACGCAATAGTTTGTGACTGCAGATGCAAAAATTAAAAAATCAGACATGAATAATATATGGATACAATTAATAATGTACAAAAATGTCATGTTTTTATGTGCTATAAGAAAAAAAAATCTTAATCAGTATTTCATTATTTTTGTATGGAGACCTGCACACAGGAGAAAACAAAAATAGATATTATGGACATAAACTGAGGATTTGCTTTTCTCACAACTAATTTGTGGCCACGTTTTATTAATCAGTTCCCTCATTTTAGTTAAATCATGTCCACGTTGTACTGATTTGTTCCCTTGATTTGATTTAATTTAATTAAATCATAACTACATCTTGGGAACAAATTCTTCATTTGTTGTGACAATGTCTTTTTCTTTGCATGTCATGTGTGGGGCTCTATATTTTGGTCTTTTATAATAAAAAATATCTGTATTTGTCAAAAGGATTGAGAAAAATCAGCTTAATTCGGCAACACATTAATATACGGACCAATTCTCACTATTAACTAGTTGCTTATTATTAGCATGCCTATTATTAAGATATTGGCTGTTTATTAGTATTATAAAGCACATATTCTGCATGACCATATTCTACATCCCTAATCCTACCCAATACCTAAACTTAACAACTACCTTACTAACTAACTATTAAAGGATCATATGATGCTTTTTTAAAGATCATTATTTTGTGTATTTGGTGTAACAGAATATGTTGACATGCTTTAATGTTCAAAAAACACATTATTTTCAAATACTGTACATTATTGTAGGTCCTCTATGCCCCGCCTCTCTCAAACGTTTCGTTTTCTACAAAGTCCCTCCTTCCGACAAGCGCAGTCTGCTCTGATTGGCCAGCTGACCCAGTGCATTGTGATTGGCTGAACACCCCTTGGCCCTTACCATAATCGCAAGCTTCATCTTTCAAAACAACGGTTTTGAGACTTTAGTCTTTGCAACTTCAGGGATCTTATCTATGCACAATCAGCTTGTAACACTCCAAAGAGAAAGAAAAACTTGAAATCGCATCATATGACCTCTTTAATAAGCAGCAAATTAGGAGTTTATTGAGGCAAAAATAAAATAAAGTGTGACCCTTAATTCGTTTTTATAAACAAGTAAATGTATCATGTTTGATAAAGATGTTTTGCAGTGCACACAATAAATTAACAAATGATCAGTTATATTTTGAATTCATGCAGAGATTACAGAGAAAGGATACCTTTTGTTACTGAGAGGAGAGAGGGAATAGGGGGAGATTTCATTGTCAAAAGGCACTCTCTTTGTGTGGATGGTGTACTGAGAGACACAAGAAAAACAAGAGTCTAATACAATATAATAAAATGTGAGAACGAGCTGGTGTATAAAAGAGCAGAAAGTAGTGCTGGGCGGTATACCGGTTGTACCAGTGTTTATTTTTGTTATGATATGAATTTTTAAAATACCGCAATACCGGTGAAAAATTATCGCTTAAACAACGTTCGGAACGCGACACTGTTTGAGAGAGGTTTCTCTTTTGAAAGGCTTTTCACTGTTGCACTGTGGTGAGGGAACTAAGCATATGCTGTATGTGTTACTAAGCGTGAAAGTTCCGAAACTGAAGCTGTAGAACTAATAGAACGTGATGACACAGAAGAACTCATCCACAATATCCACATTGTCCACCACAAATATCCACTGCCCCCTGCCATCAGCTCCCGCGTCTCACACACACGAGCGCCACTTTAGCACTAGATTTAGCAACTTTCAGACCCTTTTAGCGCCTTTTTCCCATAGAATATTCATACTGACAAACCTAGTGACTTTTTTGGATAAACCTTAACTATGGTTCAGTTGGAAGATTTCGCCAGTGCTGTCCCGCGAACACGATGTCTGACTTTCCCGGAGAAGTGTCACCCCTCTCGGCATCTGTTCTGTTCAGTGAGCGGCAGAGAAGCAGCGAATTCAGTTGGCCGCAC